GTATTACGCTTTTTTTTTTAAATGCCATTTCAATTCATACACAACTGATTTGAAATAATTCCATAAAGACCAAAAATTCCGAAATATCAAGTAATTTATGAATTATTGGTTGGATTTAAATATATAGTGAGATTTCAAAAATCAGCATTGATTATATAAAAAAAAACCCAACTCGCAGAACCCTTTCTACTCTTCCGCGGAACTCTAGAGTTCCGCTGAACACCATTTGGTAATCGCTGTATTAGATCATAGGATTTTTTCCATTATGCTTTACTTCCATTATGTTTTACTCCATAAATTTGAAAACCTTATCCAAGTTCAAGTATATTCAAAAAGGTTATGATTATCAACTCTTATCAGTTCTGACACAATATTATACATTGTTTAATAATACACACTTATCTTTGTTTCGATAGTTCTAAATCTATCGTTGATAAAACATTTGTTTCTTCATTTTTTTAAAACATATTTTGAGTGAGTGGTGAGCGCAAAATTATGGCAATAGATTACGATTTTCAATACATTTCAAACTTATGAAAGACATATTCAAAGTAATCTTAAAATATATATTAAAAATATACCGGGTGATAAATACAAATGAAATATCACATTTTTAAGTAAATACAAAATCCCTTAAATGACAACATTCAAAGGAATGAAAAGTTCTGAAGATGTCAATTGAAACACTTTTTAATAAAAAGTCCCTACAATTTACTCAAATTTTTTCTAAAAATAATTAAAATATTCCTTTGAAATTTGGTTGCAATTAAGGTATAGAAAATGTATAGGTATAGAAATGTATCGGTATGGAAATATGTTTTCAAAAATTTCTATTTACAGAAATAAAAAAAAAATGGCAGGTAAATTTTTCTAAAGTTTTACTAAAATAAACGTGACTCGAGATGTCTCAATTTTAAAAACAAATGTGTTTCAATTTATTAATCACGAACTCATTTCCAAACCTTATTGTTAACCTAAACTGTTAAAAGTTTAAATTATTTTTAAATTTATGAAGGGAGATTTAAAATTGACTAAAAAAAAGTCTATTGATTATTAATGACAGATTGCTGTTGAGTTTTTAAATATGGACGCAGCTCGAAATGTGTAAAAATGAACGCAGCTCGAAAGGAGCGTTTATTAAAATAGAAACAGCTCAAGTTGAGTGTTTATGAAAATGAACATATCTTGAAATGAGTGTTTGTGAAAACGGACAAAGGTCGAAATGAGTGTTTATGAAAATGGGCAGAGCTCGAAATAAGTCTATGAAAATGGGCAGAGCTCGAAATGAGTGTTTGTGAAAATGGACACATCTCGAAATAAGTGTTTATGAAAATGGACACAGCTTGAAAGGAGTGTTTATAAAAATAGGCACAACTCGAAATGAATGCTTATGAAAATGGACGTAGCTTGTAAAGAATGTTTACGAAAATGGACACAGCTCGAAATGAATTTTTAGGAAAATGGACATTTGATTCAGCGCTTCAAACATCTTTTATGAGAGTTTTTTTAATAATAAACTAATGAATGAAAGTAAATTCATATTGTGTCCGTTTGCACAAATCCCTTGGTAGATTTTATTAAATTAGTCATTTTATCAACAACAAAAAATTAAATCAATAGCTGTTTTTACAAGATTGTTACGGATCCAAGAAACATATAATACTGGTAATTAATTTACATTGTAGGAGTTTAAAACTCACTTTATCGTTCAGATTTCTGTAAAGGAATAAATCGCCAAAAAATTAACATCTAATATATAACTAGCCACCCAAACACCGAAGTCCGGTACTTTTGCTCCGCAATGATTATGCTTTCAAGGGCAAAATCTGTTAAATCTGTATTGAATTGAAGCTTTAATTAAAGCATTTCACTGTATTGAATTGAAGCTGCATTAAATTTTTAATTTAAAAACAAGGTATAAAACCTTGGTTAGGGTAAAAAGTTGCCGTTAGTGTAAAAGATGCCTCCTGAAATTTTCAGTTGATTTATGTATCAAATTTTAAAATGTTTTAATCTGTCGTTGATTCGTAGCACAGCTATTTTTTAATAAAGATATCGGAATTATTAAAAAAATTAATAAACTGACTTAATTTTTTGAAGCAAATATTTTAAATTATTATAAAATTTAATTTTGGAAGTAAATTTCATTTATATTGTAGAGATAAGATAAATAGAACCCCGACCCACTCCAGGGGTATACGGAGATTAAAAGTTAAAATATTACATTAAGTTACATTAATATAGTATGAAACATAGAAAGAAAGAACAAATTGATTACTGTAAAAAAAATATTAAGTTTTTTTGACAAGAATTATGTTGTAATTTTGCTTAACTTTTCATAACTTAAATTAACAAACACTTAAAAAATTTGTTATTAAATAAATAAATAAATTTTTACAGCCTTTTTTTTTAAATAACTCATATGTTAGAATAAAAAGTAATAAAAATAAAACATCTATCATTTATATTTTTAAAAGTTTAAATTTTGTAAAAATGTTTGTAAAATCATTAAATATTAGTTTAATGCTGAATAAAACATACTAACAAGTTATTAATTGTATTATATCAGACACCTAGAAATATAAATGGCAGGGATAGCCTGGTTGATAGGCGTTAGACCCATGTCCATGATGCCGTGAGTTCGATCCTCGCCGGTCACCGAAGCCTCCCCACGTAGTAAATGTCGTTAAAAATGTCGGGTCACAATGTCCTCCATGTTTTCAAGATAGGTCATACCTCTGAGTATTTCGAATTGGAGATTGATGGTTCACTGGCTCTGATCAAAATTAAAGATCTATGAAAATACAAATCGGTCCCCCTATAAACAGGCTGTGAAGTATGTGTTGCTGAAGTATTTCACGAGAAAAAAGGTCATTTTTCGTGTTCTTTTTGCGGAAGAATTCTAGCTCCGGAAAATAATGGTTCAGAAATAAAGCAAACGTGGCTAATTAATAAAGCCCATTTATTAAACAAAAGTGAAAGAACTAAAAAAGGGTATTTGTGTTATTGTGAAATTTGTAATTGTTGACGTCCACCGGTGAAAGTTGACAATCACGTAGCCTCGTTGGTAAATGTCCGAAATATATACTAGATCTAGTTAAGTGCCACTGCCCGGTATACATTTGCCCGGTATGTCCTTCATCAATGTTTTCTTTAAGGTTCAGTGCCACTCCCCTGCCCGGTATATATTTGTTCTGCTATGTCTTAAATCAATTTTTTTAAAAATGTTGAGTACCCAGTATGCTTCTAACTGGGCTATCCTCAGCCGGTGAATTCACCGATGAAAGTCGACATTCTCTTGATTTAGATTCACGGTAACAGTCTAAAAAATGCAATTCTTGCTCCCTGGCGAAATTATAAGAAATAGGTCTTCCGCAAATACTTAACTGGTATGATAATTAATGCATTGTGAATGTCTCATGCGATGAAATACAGTCTGTGCAACGCCTAGGCATGCTGAGTATCAAATTTTTGAGCTGATCGGGGGAAATATTACTCAACTCAACATACATGCCCTCCGAAGTTCCAATACACTTGTAGGAGTTGGTTAACGGGCTACAACTCGTCGGCCAAGCACGGTCCACACATGCCCTATCGGATTCAAGTCAGGTGAGAATGCTGGCTATTCCTTAACGGTGATATTTTAAAATTGAAAGAATTCGTTTACAATGTTTCCTTGGCGAGGACGGCCGTTCATCCATAAACGCAAATTATGCACCCATGGCACCTCTAACTAAGCGTACATGTTGTTCTAAAAATGATGTTGCGATAAATGTGGTATGTTATGATTCTGATTTTAATATGCAGATCTGTTCTGGAGCACTCATATAACATTATGAACCTGACGTTATTAACTTTATTAAACGACAAAGAATTAAATGGGCAGACCACGTTATCAGAATGGACGAAGATGGTACCACAAAAAGAGTTCTCAATGCCAGACGAGTTGGCTCACGAAAAAGAAGCAGGCCGAATTTGAGATGGATAGATGGCCTAGAAAAAGACCTTTTGGTCTTAACAACTAAAAACTGGAAAACATTAGCAGGAAAAAGGTTAGTCTGGAAAATTTTCTTCAGAAGGTCAAGGCCCACCTTGATGATAAGCCATTGATGCCACCCTGTCGAGCCATTGATGATGATCATGATGATGATGAGATATTCTCTGGAGAACAGCATTATTCCATCCAACACTAGCAATCCTGCACCATCGTAACAATGTAGTTCAATATTGTTGTCTTGGTGGTAACAGGTACCCGGCGTTTTCCATATGAAAGTTCGCCGTAAATCAGACCGCTAAACCTAGACTCGTCGGAAAACATCACACAAGTCAATTTTTGAAGATGGGTGTGATGATTTCACAGGGGAAATTTTTACTTCAAAGTTTAATTTCTGTGTAATTTTTAATTATCCTTAATTTGTGGACATAAGTGTAATTCGATTTATAAGGATTTTGAACATCGCGATATATAAATAAGCATTTCAAGCATAAATATGCATTAATTGTGTAAAGATCTAAAAATAAAATGGAAGTGCGCTAACATAATTTAAAAAGAAAAAAAGAAAAAAACGCAGAATTCCGTTTAATTAATTGTTATTTTGTTATCATCTAGAAAATTTTAAAATTTTAAAGGTGAAAATAAATTTTAATTTAAAAAAAAATATCGAAATTATACCAAAACATATGTAAACAAACAGCCGCAATATTTATTTGTGTACTTAATATCTCACATTGAATAAATGGTTTTATTCCATCTTGCATTTTCGAGCACTTTATTCAAAATCGTTATTTATATCAATTATTTTAATCAAGAGGATTAATCGATATCTTATCGTGTACCGAACGTATTGTAGGGGGAAAGTTTTCTACAATAGAGAAGGTCTTATCTACCGAATGAAATTTTTTAAAAGACAATGTAGAAGCCACAACGTAATTATTGGGTTATCAATTAAATAACTAAAAAAAGGTGATAAATATTTGAGAAAAAGAACAATAGAACACATGCGCTGTTATGTGGGTTAGATGACAAAGTCCCTAGATTATTCTTCGGTGGGTGGAATTCAGGATCAGCCCAATTTTGTCCTGTAGGCAACATCCAAGGGATCGCTTCTGTCAAGTTTAAGGGACTGTCACTTGGACTATATTTTCCAAAACTTGGTAACAATTGTTTTTTGTAATATATTTAAAAAAAATTTTCATTAAACATTGCATTTAATCACAAGAAAAAACTTACTTTTGTACTTGTTAGGTAAGCAAACTTTTATGCTTACCCTTCTTTTAACTTTTTAATAAAATGATTAACTGATTTCTTTTATTTAGATTTTATATTATTACAGACCAAAGATTTAAGTAATGACGCTAAATACGAGTTTTACTGAGAAAGATGTAACTCAGAAAATAAATTCACCTGATGAAAATCTCACTTTGTTTTAAAAAATTCAATTAATTAAATCTAATTAATTTTTTTTTAAAGTTTTTCATTTATTATGTGATAAAATGAAACATTTTAATTTTTAGCATTTTTGTACATTGTAGGATATTTTTTATAGTGTATTTCTTCACATTTCGATCATATAAGAGGACCGGAAAGTAAGGTCGTTTCGGTGCATTTGATATTGGTTATCAAGGTTTTATTTTTAATCAATAATGCATTCACCCTCGTTAGCAACAACCTATCAGTGCCGGATCGAAAATAAATTGAAATGGATCGAAACAAATTAATTGGTTTTTAAGACTAACGAATGCACCGAAATGACATTACTTTCCGGACCCCCTAATACATTAAAATCCACTACGTTCAAATAACAAGATGCATATATGCCATAAAATTGCTTAAATCCAATTTCATACCCTTCTTATATTTTTTCATTGTAATTAAAAACCCACAAGGGTACGATTGCCCATGTAAAATTAAAATTTAAACACCTACCAATTATACTTTTGCATGGACATTCCTGCTGTAAAGAAACAACAGAAAAACAGAACAAACAGAAAAAATTAATCTTAAAACATTCTTTTTTTTTTAAAGTTATAAAATTACATCAAATGTAGCGGAATATTTTATTCGCTAGCTCTCAAGAGATTATAAAAATTGAATTTTTTTTACATTAATTTTTTTTTAAATTAATGTAGAACAATGAACACATAGTAGACATAGACATAGAACACATGTAGTGTAATGAACACATTAATGTATACGATTTTTTACACAGGAATATATAACATTTTTTACACATGAATCCAAACACAAAAATTTTTAATAACGATATTTAAAAACTTTACAGCGGAAGTAGTTTGATAAAGCTTTTTATCACTTTAGCTACCGTTTTAACTACCATTAAGTTGAATTGTAAAGAATAAGGAAATATTTCTTTGAAAAAGTTGTATTCCAAAGTGTGTCGTTATTTTGTTATCTTTATTAAATAATAACGGTAATAGTGGTATAAATTAATAGCTTATAGCATTAGAGGTTTTACAAGGAAAGTAGTCCAAAGTTCTTCTTCATTTTTAATATTTTGACTTTGAAAGCTTAGAAGAGATGGATAAGTATTTTCGAAAAATAATAAATTATGATGGTATTAAAATATACAAATGTCAGTAGTTTCCTATCTGCCACTATAACAGGGTGGTAGATATGATTAAATTTCAAAGCTGTAAATTCTCATCAATGTCCCCACTCAGTGTCATCATTTGGGATAATGCCATTTTTTTATTTAGAAAAAAGGTTTATAACGGGCAATATAAAGTTTTAATATTTGCTTCGGCTGACTTCATGACTTAGCTGAGTCTTAGCTGACTTCATGACTAAGATCCCGATTTGAAAATGAAAAACAGAAAGACAGCGAGAAACAGAGGGGCAGTTAGAGGAAATTCCTGGAGAAGTCTAGGGCCCACCCTGGGCTGTCGCACTTCTTAAGAAGAAGAAGAAGAAGTATAAATAATTCACCAGATGTCGCATTCTTGAACAGCACCGAAGAGTTTGCACAGTACTTTTCTTTCAGAAATTAGTTGTCATGTCTACCAATGCCTACTCACTCAGCTGCTTACGCCTAGTCTATTAATTGATCCAAAGATCATAAATTTTGTTTTATTTCCGTTGATGCTTCGGCTTTTTTTTTTAAATTTGTATCACGTAATAACATAAATCTCTTATGACATGAAATATTGTTTCAACACGTTCTTCTGCTTTAAAAAAACAAAAACAAAATTTAAAATAATTGTTTACATTGATGTTTACAGTAAAAAAAACGTTAAAATCAATTTCTGAATCAGTAAATCGGTAGCAATAAAATTCATTAATACCCTTATTTTGCTTGACTTGACATGCACACTGGACTAAGGTATCTAGAACTCTAGATTAGCGGTCGTCAGCGGGCCACCAATACATAGAAGATAGCTTGCAGAATATCAAACCCTAGTAGCTGAAAGTGGCAACCATGTTACAGACCTTATACGATAGAATAAAATAAGCCTGGTTTGCGTCGATTTTATAATAAATCTAAATTTTTTTCTATCGTTTTTCTGATAATTTTCTAACGATTTTTTAAAATCTCAATATTTTTATTTCTCGATATATTTTGATTCAATTGCTTTTTCTAGAGTAATTAATGTGGAATTTCACATAGTTTTAAAAATCCCGATTTTTTTTAATACGTTAGTAAGATATCGATTCGCACCTTTGAGTAATAACTTTTTAGGTGTTCTCAAGTTGCGACGATGCCATCGTAAATTTACGTATTGTTGTCGATCGCTTTTTGGAAAACTATTGTTACTATTTTTTTTTTGTAGCTTTTAAAATACCCACATTTTTTTAAAGATGTATTATTACAACACGCGAATTTAAAATTGCCAATTTGAATAGACGAGTTTTGATATACTCGATTTGTGACTATTCCTTTGCACATTTAAATATTCTAGAGAACTATTACAACAGATTTCTACGTGATTTTTAAAATCCTGATACTTTCAATGCATTAATGCATGCAATGCGTTACATTTAATGCACACAAATTACGAATCGCTCATTTGAATAATCACATTTTGCTCACCTCTTATCTAAAAGTGGTTATGACTTTTTATGACTCTGGTAGACAGTAGCTACTATATGGACACAACTTAAAAAAGTGGTCCAAGTTCAAGAGGATGAAGAAGAAATGGATTAGAGAAAGTTACACACCTTAAAATAAAAGGTGTTTAAGAAAATGGACACATCTCAGAATGCATGTTTAGGAAAATCGACACATCCTGAAAAGCGTGTTTAAGAAATAGAACAGTTCATAATGGATTTTTAAGGAAATGAGCATAGCTGAAAATGTGTGTTTAAGACAATGGAAATAGCCTGAAATGCGTTTTGAAGAAAATGGACACAGCTCAAAATGCGTGTTTAGGGAAATCGACACAGCCTGAAATGCGTGTTTAAGAAATGGAACATAGCTCATAATGGATCTTTAAGAAAAAGGGCATAGCTGAAAATGTGTGTTTAAGAAAATGGAAACAGCCTGAAATGTGCTTTGAAGAAAATGGACACATCTCAGAATGCATGTTTAGGAAAATCGACACAGCCTGAAATGCGTGTTTAGGAAATAGAACATAGCTCATAATGGATCTTTATGAAAATGGGGATAGCTGAAAATGTGTGTTTAAGAAAATGGAAACAGCCTGAAATGCGTTTTGAAGAAAATGGACACAGCTGAAAATGCGTGTTTAGGAAAATCGACACAGCCTGAAATGCGTGTTTACGAAATAAAACATAGCTCATAATGGATCTTTAAGAAAATGGGCATAGATGAAAATGTGTGTTTAAGAAAATGGAAATAGCCTGAAATGCGTTTTGAAGAAAATGGACACTGCTCAAAATAAGTGTTTAGGAAAATAGACACATCTTAAAATGCGTTTTTAAGAAAATCGACATAGCCTGAAATGCATGTTAAGAAAATGAACACAAATCCCAAATTTGTCCTCAAAAAGAAAATGAACATAGCGTGAAATTTGTGCTTACGAAAACTTTTGCAGCTCAAAACACGTGTTTAAGAAAATAGACGCAGCGAATAGAAAAAGTAAATATAATTCCGCTCTAAGTTGTTAAATTTTATTGAACATAGAAAAGGCACATTTTTGCTGTGTCCATTTTCTTACCATCATGTCCACGTACTTCGAGTCATGTCCATTTTCTTATGCATACATTTTAAGCTGCGACCAGAATCATACTTACTGACGAGAAGTTGCAATATGTTGATGACTTTTATATAATTAAATTGCCAAAAATCGAACTTTTAAAATGTTTTACTTTTATCCAGAAACTCTTTAAAATAACTTCCCTAAATGTATAAGTAACATCGTAACATTCATCAATATCATGATTGGCAGATAAGTCTTCATTTGCTTATTTTTTCTCACTTCTTATTCTCATACTTATTTATTCTCACTTCTACTTCTCAATTATTCTCACTTCTCAAAAGAAGTGAATAGTGATAGAAGCATGTCGTCATTATTGATATTTTTTTTGGTTAAGCAAGAATTAAGAATAATTTCTTTATGTTACCTAGTTCCGGAAAAAAATGTGATCCAAACACAAATGTTTATATCATTTATATCACACAATAGAAAGATGTATAATTGTTTCAGAAAAAAATCTAATAATAAAGCAATTGATTAACACAATAAAAAAAGGACAAAATAAAAATATTTTTTAAATTTTTTTGAAAAATTTCTTTTCTACTTAAATAATTATTCATTTTTAAATATTTTTATATGCACACAAATTTTTATTTATTACGATATTCCCTTTTTTTAACAAAAGTTTAAAAAGAAGCAAAGTTTAAAAAATATTTTAGAAGAAGTTATTCTAGCTCATATCTCTTATCAACCTTAAACGACAATTAAAAAAAAATATCTCCCAGTAAGTTAAAAAAGAAAAATTCAGAGAATTATTTATTTATTTTTCTGGATCTGTGCTTGACCTTACAACTTGGTCAAAAATCCATAGAGAAAAAAGGGTAGGTAAAATGAAAGAAAGTACGTTTTTGAGTCTGATTTCGTATCTTGGTTAAATTCTCTAAAACTTAAAGATTTCTTCTTAAAACGTAAAAATGTGATTAATAAATCACTAAGTACTTAGTTGGTAACTACATTTTTACTTTGTTCCAATGCATACAATATAAACCAGGGCTGTGGAGTCGGAGTATACAAAATTTTTTGCAGAAGTTGGAAAAATTAGTAGAACTCCAACTCCAGCTACATTATGTTCAATAGTTTCAAAGAAGAAATGAGTTCCTTGATTTTATGAAAACGAGAAAAATATTTATAATAAGTATGTGAACAAAATCTCCCTTAACTGAACTTATTATGCCGAATATTTAAATTACAATATAACTTCAAATTAATTCATAGCTTTTGAGTCTATGTTTAATAGAAATATTAACAAAAGTGCATAAATTCCAAAAACAAATTTACTTAGCTCTTATGAAAAATTAATTGAAAAGATATGCAAATTAATCGTATGAGTCATATTTGTAATAGTTTTCTAATTCCAGAATATTCTCGAAAGAATCTTCTTATCACGTGATGTTTAAAAATGTACGAGTCTGATATACTAATAGCTGCCTCTTTTCTTATGATGGTTTTGCACGATTTTCATATTTTGAACGAATATACATATTTATTCTTTTATTTGCTATATCGAAATATAAAATGCAATTTTAAAAAAATACATTTAACTCAAATCGTATTTAAAACACGGAATTTGATATAGAAAATCGGAGATGGAGTCGAGCTCTCAAAAAAGTTCGGAGTCAGACTCGAACATTTCAAATATCGACTAAGCTCCGAAAACATTTACTGAATGAAAAGGTCTTAAATAACAATTTATTTAACTAACAATTATCATTTAATTTAACTTACTTATTTAACTAATTTAAATAACAAATATTAGGTAATTTAACCAACAATTTATTTTTTAGTGTTCACATTAGAAGATGTGGTCTCATCTAGGGAGAGCTTTAAGCTCTCTTCTTCTCATCTGTTTCATCCTTTCATCAACAGCACAAGATGAAATAGGTAATTCATTTTTTTATTCATCAAAAATAACATAAAAATTATTTTTAACCATCATGATATTGCTATCAGCCATAATTTTACAGTAATTAAGGCACATTGTAAAGGACTGTGGCTCTATGCCAATGCTTTACTTTTTTTATGACTGTGAGGTTCCCCCCCCCCTTACCCCGTGATTGTTGGTCATTAATCAAGTGAATTTCGCGATCTGGAGCTTTTGGAGCGGACTTGAAATTTCTTCAACATTTGAAAAGTAAACAATCGTTTGAAGTTCGACTTTTCAAACGATCTGATTCATAGTTTTCACGTGACATCATTATTGATTATTTAATAATAATTCTTTATCGATGTTTTAAATAATTCTATCTAAAAAAAATTACAGTAAATAATTTTAAAATTCTAAAGAATACTAAAAGGTAATTCATGATTTTTAGAAACTTAAGAGAGCATTCTTACTGTATCTGGTTTGATCGTTTTGCTTCAAACGCACTAATCAGATTCTAAATTTCTATATATATATTTCATTTTGATGAAAAAGTTACAACAAAAAATGGTGTCGGTGCATCTTTGGAAAACATTTTGTACTGGAATGAAAAGTTTGTTTTCGAAACATATTAATTCAACGCAAAATCGCTTGTTTAAAACAGAAAGAGAAAAATGGTCTTCTCTTAAAAAATCTTCTCTTAAAATTAAAAATCTTCTCTTAAAATTAAAAACCGATTAAACTTTAAAATAATTAAAAAGTTTTGCTTCTACTTCTTTCTTTTTGCAGTTAGTAATATAATTCTGAATATCATAGGTAAATGAAGGATAAATGGGCAAAATTATTATTTTACGATCATATTTTCTTTTGAAGGTCTTTGACGAAACGCCTACATAGGAAAAATTTCATGAACACGGTGTTATCTATTTATTGTTAATGTTTTACAACTCCCCAGAAAATTCCTTTTATTTATTGAAATCTTATCATTCAAATCATTTTATCTACATCAAAATTCATAGAGGAAAATTAAAATTCTATTGTTAAGTATATCATTCTCTTTTATTTCTTATCAGAAGCATGTTGATGATCAGATATTATTTGTTGAAAGTGATATTTTGGATATTTTTTATCACATTACAGTGTCATGAAAATTCAGAGATAATAATAATAATTTCAAATTTCATCGATCAAATTAATTAATTGGTTTATATTCAATTCTAGTAAAATGAAAATTTCTCATATACATTTAAAAAAATTAAATAAAGTAGTCATACTTCATTAAATTATGCTACTTCATCGAATCTATATGATACTGCATGCAATTATTGCCACTTTTAAATGAATAAAAACAGGAAACGGAAAAGGGAATATATACTTAATGATATAAAAGCTTTATTGGCTTCAAAAGTATGAGGATTGAAAAAAAATTGAACACGTTTCGAACACTTAAGAATAGGCACCCGTTCTTAAGATTCGCTACGCATGAATGAGGAAACAAGAGGGATTTGAAACGGAAAACGTAAAATTGCCGAAGAAAAATGGAAAGTAAAGACGAAAAAACAAAGATATCAGAGAGAGAAACAGAAAATAGAAATAGTAATGAAAGCGAAAAAAATATAAAAATCGCAATGGCCGAGAGACGCAAATCAAGGCAAAATGTATTTCCACGAGCTATGAGGAACTCATGTCATTAACAAGGGAATTGTCATTCATATACCTTAGAATCTTGTTTCATCCAGCCGATTCCTTTGTTAACTACATGAGTTCTCTAAAAAAAACATACCCTTTTTTTCCATATTTTGAGGATAAAATTTGGATTTCTTATCCTAAAAATATGGGAAGTAGCCGTAATCTAAAAAATATACTTCCAGAATTTCGATCAGGCCGTTGAAAGTAGTTAATTATGCTTTGTTGTTATTATTATTATTTAGGATTTCTTAAGCCCCACTTTAAAAATTTTGCACACAATTATATAATTCGCTTGTCTCAAGTTAATGGGATACCTGAAAGGGACGTGGTATGGGTATCTCGATCCTGATTGGTTGCTGAAATGTGGCATTTGTTTACGTTAGCAACTGTTCTTTCCATTCTATCTCGATTAAGCCAAGCCCGTCAAGTACCAATTCTCTTAAGTGACACTGCCTATATTCTTTTCTTTTACAAAGATTTCAATTCTTTCACAATATATTTACACAAATACTTCACAAGTACTGTTGTATACTGTCATATACTTCACAAGTTCAATTGATTTGTCTTTCACAATATATTTACACTACGAGCACACTACGAGCACAAAGACAGGCACGTCTTTGACAAACATAAGCAAACATATTATGCATCGAAGTTGTCAGGTACACAAAGCAAAAATATATCATGGTTGCAATAACACAAATAAACAAATAATAAATCTAAGTTAATTAAATGAAGTAGACGAGAAAGAATTATTTCTATTTCAAAAAATTCGATGTGCGACACGGCTCTGTATTTAATTCATTTAACATTAATTAACTTTCTAAGTTATGTAGAGAAACTTTACTGAACTTTAATACGCGATTTTGCTGATAAAGATTAGCTGGCGCTGATGTCAGAGGTCATATGTGTGGGTATGGGTTGTCTTCTTCGTTATGGAGTACAAGTACCCAATTTTGAGTCTAATTTCGTAACTTTAAATATCGTCCGAACAAGTTAATTAACGTATTTGAGGTCCCCCCCCTGCATTGCCGGATTAAGCGTTCTAGGCCATTCAAATTTTTGGGGTCTTTGGATTAAATTTTTTTTTCTCGTATATTTTTTATTTATACAAATATTAAAGTATTTATCTATCTTTTTAGTTAAGAAGCCATTTTCAAAATAAAAATAAATTACATTTTACTTTATTTTGTTAAATTCGAACTAAAAAATAATCATAACATTTTGAGAAAATTTGAAATTTATTAACACTTTACAAAATCAACGCTGTTATAAAATTGGCATTCAAAAATATTTTTTTTCTGCTCTTGCGATCAATAAACTCATCTATAATGTTATCAAAATTAATTTCCCGGAGAACATCAGATTCGATAAACATCAAACTTAACATGTCTACTCGTTTTTGAAACATGACGCTTCTTTGCTCAATCTTGATTCGTTTCATTTTTCAAATCTAGGGCTCCGTAGAACAATTAATTTGTTATCATAAGAGTTAGAAAAATGCAAATAGCAGTCAAAATGACAAATTTTAACTTAAGAAGCATTGATAAATCTTATAATACATAAACTGTAATAATACTTATAAATAATAACTAAAATAAGTATGAATAAATATGATTAACATTATGTAAAAGAAATTTCGTATTCTTTTAATATATATTGGAAAATTGATGTTTTTTTTAAAAAAATCATTGTTTCTCTTATTTTTTTAAAATTTATTTTCAAAGAATCCATTTTAAAGGGGCCTCTAATCATAGGGGGCCCCAGGCCATGGCCTAGTCTGGCCTAATGGGTAATACGGCATTGAACCCATGAACCATAAAGTTAGAGTTCTAGCTCGTGAAAATCCGTTTATTATATTAAAAATTATTCATGGTTTTCTTTCTCTTGCGCACTGTACAGTCATAGAATTTTGATGTTATTTATTTGTTTCAGAAACTCCACCATTTCCATCTATACAGAATTATACCTTTTATTACACTGATGTCCAGTTTACAGATATAGAACTGGTAAATTTTCATAATTTTTTGTTCTAACTTTACTTTTTTCGTGACGTAAATAAAGAAGCGTGTAAGGCAGCTTTGCGAAAATGTTGGTAATTAAAGTTAGTAAATGAGTAAATAAATAAGCTTATAAATTTATAACTTGTGTTGTATCAGTTTATTAATTAAGAGAGTGAGTAAAGAAAGAAAAAATGAGTCTCATTAGTGAGTCGACAAATCAGCTTGTAAATAAATAAATAAATAAGGTTACAAGTTCATAACTTGTGTTACGTCAGTTCAAAAATAAAGGAGTGAGTGAAGGAAAAAACATATGAGTTTTATTAGCAATTAAAAAAAAATCAGAGAATGACGAATCAGTTTGTAAATAAATAAATAAAAGAAGTTCATAAATTCATAACCTATTTATAAATTCATAACCTGTTCGTCAATTCAATGATAATTAGTAGAATAAATAACGAAATAAATTAGTCGTTTTAGTGAGTCGGTGAATCAGCTTGTAGATAAGTAACAAAAACGTTTATAAATTTACAATTTGTGATACGCCAGTTTATAAATATAGGACAGGGATGGCGAACCTTTATACACCAACGTGCCAATTTTTCTAAAAAATTATTTAATGAGGTCATAGACGTGCCGTCAAATAATTTTGACTTCGTGATTATTGGGAAAATAATAATACTAAATACTATCAACTCAAAACTCTTTATTTACATTGAGAAAAAAAACATTTTGCCATGTCCTAAATCAACTTAAAGTAAGGTCAGTGTGACTTCTGCTGTTCCAGATTAGATGACAAATGACTTATATTAGGTTGTAAGATGTTAGTTTAAGCAGGACTGTTAATTTTTTTTTGCTAGTTATTTATTGTTAGCTTGTTTTTTATGGTTATTAATTGCTTTTTTAGCATTAATTGTTAATTTTCTTATTAATAATTGTTTATTATTTTGTTTGTTTTTGTGAATTTTTAATTTAATTGTTACATATGCTTCATAGTGTAATAACATTTGTGTAATAACGATTCATAGTGTAATAACATTTGTGTAATAACGATTTATTGTGATCGGTGGCGTGCTCAAAATATTGTGACTCGTGCCATAAATGGCACGCGTGCCATTGGTTCGCCTTCCCTGATATAGGAAGTGAGTAAAGGAAAAAAATGAGTCTCATTAGAACAATGAGAGAGTCACGAATCAAAGAGTGAACGAAGCAGCTTGTCAATAAATAAATAAAAAAGCTTCATAACCTGACATATTCATAACCTATGGTACGTAAGTTCATTGATAAGGAGTTGAATAAGAAAAAGAAAAAAAGAATCTCATGAGCGAGTCGACAAATCAGCTTGTAAATAAATAAATGAAAAAGTTTATGAATTCCTAACTTGTGGTACTCCAGTTTATTGATAAAAAGAGTGAGTAAATAAATAAATAAATAAATAAATAAATGAATCTTTTTAACTTATGCTCAACAAATTAGTGAGTTAAAAAATCAGCTTGTAAATAAATAAATAAAAATGTTTACGAATTTCTTTACTTGTAGTACGTCCGTTCATTCATAAAGAGTCGTATTAGTGAATCGACTTATCAGTGGTTCGCTAAAATAAGCTTCTTGATAGATAAATAAAAAGTAGATAAATTTATAATTTGTGATGCACAAATTCACTAATAATTCACTTTAAAATAATAAATTCACTTTGGTGGTCCTAGGGAGTATGTAAAAGGATAATTAAATGAGTTTTATTAGTAAGTCAATAATAAATCAATGAATCTGGGAATCAGGTTGTAAATAAATAAATAAGTTTACAAACCGATAACTTGTGGTATATAAGTTAATTGATAAAGAAATAACTGATAGATAAATGAATAAATAAATAAGTTAAGTTTTAAAAAAATATATTTAAGTTTTACTTAAAAAATAAGAAGAAAAAAGAAATACCATTTAGTTAATAATTTTTCAATAATTTTTTTCAGCAAGTGTCGGCGTTTGCATCTGAATACTTTGACTCAACAGGTGGTCCTAGGGGAAGAGTGAATGTGATATCTCTAGGAGAGAAATCCACCACCATTTACAATAAAGATACAGATCAGATCTTTGAAATTAACTGTGAGTATGAAATTCATTTTGTTTTAAAAAAACAGGTATAATTTTTTTTTTTTAAAAAAAAGGAAAAAGCATTATATCACTCCTGAAAATCACTTTATCATAATCGCCTGACAGTTTCATGCACTATTGCGCTTCAGCAAGGCATAAAATTTCAATTTTGGTGGTACTAGACAGACTAAAAGCTTTGCTCTTCACTATTTTAAAATTTTAATGTCAATAAGGTTTAATTTAGAGAAATTATTTACATTTAATGAAAAAAAAACATATTTTACAAAAACTTTTATTTAAAAAAAAAGATTTATTTTAAAATTATTTATCAAATATAAGAAGATTTTTTTGTCATGGATTTGCCCGAATTGGATTTGCACATTGTAAAAATATAAGTTCAGTTAGCAAAGAAATTTTTAATTATAACATACAATTAACCTCAACGATTTTATATAGAATTTAAATGTATTAGTTGGATATCCATTGCTGTTGTTTTTTTTTGTTTTTTTTTAAATTTTGGAGGAGTTCGTCCTTTGATAAATAAACATTGCTACAATTTCTTTTAAATCTATTCATGTGATGAAAAATGGTTTTTAAATTAATGTTTTTAGAAGCATCAGAATTCCATGTAATTAGTTTACTTACATTAAATTTAAAGTCATTTCTTTTATTGTATAAATATTAGATATATTTTTTTATATCACGAGATTATATCTTTTTCTTATTTAACGTCAAAACATCTAGTTGACTTGAAAACAAATGAATCATGCTAGATTTCATATATTTTTGTACGATCATGTTAATAAAGTGTTACTAATAATGGTGATCATTTCATTTTTCAGCAACGAATTGTCAGGTTTGGGATACAGATGAATCAATACGTGACTACGAACCAATTTTCACTGGATGGTTAAATAAAGAACCACTCGTCATTGGTCCATCGGCTATCCTATGGACGGCGGATGCTGACAGAGACAAAATTGTAAGTGTTTTGAGAACTTAAAAGTGAAGTTATTTTTAAACACATTTTTTTTTTGGAAGGGATATATCTTCCTTGAGGCTGTTTTTCGAAAGGTCCATCGTAAGACGAATTGATGCTTTTTGCTAATAATATGCCATTTTTACAACTGATTTGTAACTGTTACTCATGACTGTTAGTTCAAGTTTAGCCTATCTAAAGTCAGCGCTGTCTACGCTTATTTTGAAAATGGCCCAAAATGTCCATATGGAGAAAAGCCACAGTTTTGTGAAAATGAAAAGCATTTGTGGTCTAATTTCCTAATATTTAAAAACTTACTCCAATGCTGCATTACTTGGGCTCATTAAAATTTTTAAAAACTTAAAATAAGGCAGTAATTTTGATAATTTTTATGTAGGTGGAAAAATGTCGCCAAATTGGCGAATTTTAAAACAGTTTATTAACTTTACAATATTAAAGTTATTTGTCTGTTCTAAAGACTAGATAATTCTTCACGGTAAGATTATATACATGGTTTAAAATCATCCCATTGCTTCTAGTGTAAGGCACTTAAACTATGGTTTCTTTCTAAATTTTCCTTGGCGACAGAACTTCGATAAACAGCGTTAAAGTGTATTGTAAGGCTCTGAATATCTGAGTCTGCTATCACGAGTGGGCGATAGCAAAGTGTTTAATTCCAGCGATTCAGAGGAAGGATATAACGAAAGTGGAAGCGAAAGGCAAACTAAGAATCGAAGGGAAACGGATACAGACTTTTTAAGCATTGTACAAAAGAAATGAATAAAAATAAAACTTATCTAAAGAGTTTTCTATCGTAGTTAACCAACAAAACGAAATGGTATGCCAGTTGAATTCTTGTAAAAAGAAATACGTTTAAATTTTGAAAAACTTTCTTTCCCCACCTATGAAAAAAATGAACTCTTCTGTTAAGTTTTCCCGCCATCTTATGGTGGTTGAATTGTTTTTCAGTACAGAGCATGGGCGTACTTCGTTACCCAATTAGTATTCCTAAAGTGATCTGAAAACACGTGTTTATTTCCTTGGTAGTAACTCTTTTAAAAGTTGTTTCTATAAAACTAAATAATCAATTAATTAGCGGCAATTGAAACGATGAAATTTTTTTTTACGTATTGTAAGGTAAAAGTGATAAAAATGTGATACTAATTTGTTTAGGAAATACGTAAAGAAACTATTAAACTATTAAAATTAAATAATTATATAAAATTAAGTACATAGCTGTAAAAATAGCTATGTACTTAAAAGTTAAATTAATTGAGTAAAGGTATTTATTAGTTTTAGAGGAACCGTAAAAAATGGCCATACCAATATTGACGACAATGATACATAAGTAATTATGGTCATATGTATTAATGCAAATTTTAAAAGAATAAAAGAAACTATGTACTCAAAAGAAAAATTAATGAAGAAAGGTACTTTTTCGTTTAAGGGAACTATAAAAAATAGCCAAACTAATATTGACGCTATTGACGCTTTATTAATTTTGGCAATACGTATTACTGGTATTATAGTAATTTGCACAGTTTTAGTAAAGAATTCCACTACAGATTTATTGTAGTTTCAGAAAATATTTTTCCAGTAAGGGAAAAGATTGTCTATTATTATTTCAATGAATTGAAATTGAAAGAACAGTTTTCCAACTCTACTTAATACATATACAAAGTGTTTTATTGGTATTTTAGGTAAATAGTAAAACTGCTCTATTACTTTAAACTGACAAGCTTGTAAGACAAATATTCAAAAACTAAATATTAAGAGTGGAAATTTAAGAACACCTAGTTTATTTTAGACTCTTTGAATATATGTATGTTTTTGAAAGTATATAAGTGATTTCTTCTTCCATAGGAATATATGGGAGAGACTATAATTAGAGACATCAATTGCGAAGCATGGAGGTATAATTTAACCAATGAGATGAACCAATTGGTGTACACCATGCATTTTGCAGGTAATTCTTAATAATTCCCTCCCTCCACTTGGATACATGCAAGTGACGTCACGTTTGAAATAACCAATCAGGTTCGACACACATGAGACGTCGCTTGCCGGTATCCAATTAAATCTGATCCGAAAATTGAGTCAGCGAGATAATAAACCCAAGTTTTTTTAAAACTGTAACGTTAACACGCCTTGCACTGCCACGTATTTAGTTTTTATTTTATTTTATAACCGGTGTTGAACACTGCCTACCCAATTCTGAGTTTATGAATACCAATGTTATGCAACTCCATATTCTTGCAAATTTGAACCCAACCCAGAAGACAAGGGAGCTTTGTATCAATCATTGGGACCAACTAGCTTTCGTGGGGGACTTTTTGAAGGAAATAACCAGCATATGTGTTACACGGTGGGGAAAACCACGAAAACCTCCCCCGGTATGCCCGACGGCAAGGAGATTCTAACTCATGATCTGTCTATGATTAATTTTATTTTTACGTCATGACTGAGGTCAGTGCGAACTGAGAGCAGAATTCGCATCAACCATCCACCGCTGGGATTCGAACTTAGGGTACCTCATTCAGAAACACTCGTCCCTCTGAGCCAGTGTGGCTTATATGATTAGTTGCAAATACCTGATAGGAAAGTTTAGCGCAGTGGTCATGTTATGAGATGTTTAAAAAAATTTGCTTTAGATTAGAACAGTGACCCTGACTATCACTTAAAACCTCTGGATTATACAATCGGCTTTTTTTTTTATAATCAAATGTGCAGGAACAGAACCATTACAATATCAAAACATACTAGAACCATCCTTTTATAAAATAATGATTGCCGTTTTGTAAAATTAAAAAAGATGGCTTCACTCCAGGGGATTTCCTCCTGATCTTTCTGAACTTTCGCTTTTAATGAGGTGAGGCTTCGAATTCCAGCAATAGCTGGTCGATGCGAACTTCGCATCCAGCTCGCACCGACTTTGTGTTGACGTAAAATATCCTTAGTAGTAAACAGATCATGGGTTAGAGTCCTCTTGCCGTTAGGCTAACCGTGGGACTTTTCTCTCTATGTAACGCAAATGCGGATTAGTTCCATCAGCAAGTCCTCCGTGAAAGCAAATTTCCTCCAATACTTGATCCAAGAAATTTCTTGTCTTCTGGATTGGGTTCAACATTACAAGGCTATAGAGTTGAACATTAGTAGTCGTAAACTCAAAATAATATTATAAAATGGCTTAAAATACTTGTATACTTTTTTTATAATGTAACATATAATTTTATTGTATTTAAGCACTTTTAAAGCATAAAGAATAAATACATAAATTAAATGAAATAAATAATAAAAATAAATAAAAACATGACTTTTCTAAAATCTGAGAATACTCTAAGCCCGTGAACACTTTGCTAAACGGATAAAGAGCTGTGTGAAAAAAAACACTATGAAGAGCAAACTGGGGGAAAAAAATCCGGGAAAAAAGTATCGCAAAAAATCACTACTTTTAAAGTTCAAAATTTTAATGACATACTTGATTCGGGATTGATACTTGAATCCGAATTTAATGTAACCAAATATTTAATCAAAAGTAATTTGATTGAAAATTGTTTAAAAAATCTATTAATTAATATAAAAGGATTAATATAAAGTTAGGAAAAATAATTTTTTACTCTTCATACATTTCAACAACAGGATTGAACAGCATTAGCAGCTCGAAAATTTTTCTAAATGATAACAATTATTCGTATTGTATTATGTTATAATATTTTCTTAAAAATAATGCTTTTTCAACTTGTAAATTTCTTAAAAATTATTTCAAAATAAAACACTTTTTAATATTGTTGATATTCATAACTTAGCACAAGATTACCCTCCTTCCTGATTGATATCCCCCCCCCCAATATGTACGATAAAATTATTCTAATCTATATACAATTAAAAGAATATAGGAATATTATAAGTTCTCTGCCATTCACTTCAAAATAATTTTTGTATATTACTTACTTCTTTTTTAAAAAAAATATCTTAAGATATTCATGTTAATATTTAATTATATTAAATTCAGATTCAGCCGCTAAATTCATATAATTGTCAAAGTGGTGCTTTTTTTCAGAGCTGTTTTTCCGGTGCTTCTTTTCGTGATTCGAAGACACCGCAGAAGAAATTAATACCCCAAAACAGGATGAGGACTTGAAATATCGCCTAATATTATTTTACTCAAAGCTTTTCATTTATTGTTTATTCATTAATTTTTTTATTATTTATACATAACGTTAAAAAGAATGATGAGAGAGAAAAAAAATAAAAGACATAAAATCTCTATATTTACAGAAAAAAACACACGTCTTGAATAACTTTTGATATAATGATTGGATTCACACACTGAGAAGTAATTTTAATGCTTCAGGTAGCTTATACTAATTAGTGCAGACGATAATTCAAATTACGATATCAGACACAATATCTTACTCTCTTCAAATAAAAACAAGCATTCCCTTTTTCCCCGCCAAATTTAGATTTCTGTCTACCAAATCGTAAAAGTTAACGTGATTTGAAAATATTATCGCAATAGTTTAGTCAGGGGGATAAATAAATAATAGTCAGGGAGAAAAATAATTTGGGTCCCAAATTGCTATTCACAACTTTTGATTTTTTTTATCTTGATACAATAACTTTTAGTGTTCAACTGCTTAATTTCAAAGGAAAAATTAAATAAAGGAAATCGGTTTAACAGTTCCTGTGATATAAAAGTTTTAAAAAAGTGGTATTTTAGCATTTTTATTACACGAGAAATGACTCAACTAACTTGCTTTATGTTTTGAATTCTAATCTTTAAATTTATGCAGTTTAACCCAGCATAAAAAATTTTATATCTCACAATCTAAAACTTTTTTAATCATTATGAAAATAATAATTAATTTAAAAGAATAATTAATTGGTCGCTGTTATTTAATCTTTAAAGAAAAAGAGTTTTATAAATATGTGTAAAAATATTTGAATGAAGATACTTCCACAGGTTTTTGCATACAAAAAACATGTATAAAAAGAATTCAATATTCCCCCCAGTCGTGCTCTATTATCCCCGATTTCCTGCTTTAAACCCCACCACTCTTCACGACTACCAAATGTTCCATAGAATGTTCGAACTATCGTCTGCGCGTTCCGACTGTGGATTCAATATGAAGGGCAGAGGCCTTAAAAGGTGGTGGGTGATATTCGAAGCTCGATTCTATAGTCCAGGGAGAAGAGAGCTTTTCAAAGATGGGTTCGATTACAAATTGAAAACTGTTTTAAGAAATATAAAACGTTGTAAATTTTTTAAAAAAACTTTTTAAATTTGTTTTAAAAAATATTTTGAAATTAGAAAAGTGCAAGAAAAGAAGGACCTAAAAACCATCTTCATTTCCATATACTAATAATCTTGACAGTTCAACGGACTCGTTTTAAATATGCTAATTAATTATTACTAACGATATTTTAAGTGACGAAAAAAATACACAAAAACAAACTTTCTATAAATAAACATAACTTTTTACCGATGGATTTGGGTTTCTGGCCCTGAAAATACAGGGTCCCAATAGTTTGGTCAGAAGAGCAGTCAAAAATTCAGACCCCTTAATGTTAATTCTTCTTTATCGCATTTCGCCATTTTTCGAAAACTTTTTAAGTGAATCGAACATTTTTTGCACGCATTTGTTTATCCGAAGATAATTCAATTAAAAAAACAATAACTTATAACAACTCTTTCTTTCTTCCATACTTTCTTCCGTAAAATTTTAAATTGTAAAATACGCAAATATTTACGTCATTTTAAAAAATGTAATTTTATATTGCGATATATTATTTTGAACTGAAATCGTCCGAATAGTTCTTGGGAAATCATATTTTAAATGCGCGAATTAAATTGGGCTTTCAAACCATTCAGTTTGAGCCCAGGCAAGTTAAAATCCACCGCCAGATCAGAAATTATTCAAGGTGTTCCGTTTTTCTTTTCTTTTCTTTTTTTCGTTTTTCTTTTTTTTTTTTTTTCGTAGTGCACACGAGAGATTATTTTCCTAAAAGTATAAGGCATAGGCAGATTTGGAAAAAAAAAAAAAAAATGGTATGCCATTCAAATTTAAAATCGAGTTCGCACGTTCCACGATCGCTAACTAAGTATTATTATTCTTAGAATTTTTTTTTTTGAATTTTAATTGTATAAAGAAAAAAAATAGAAATGAAAAGAACGTTAACGACAAGTTCATAAAATAACGTTAGGCGTTTAGAGCCTGATAACTAGTGAAATACAAAACAACGCGCAACATAGAAATATAGCCCACCTTAATCACTCTTGATCTAATGATCTGCTGGTTGATGTAAATTCCGAACTCAGTTCCGCAATCATTTCCACACTCATTGCATACTCAATGGTAGACGGATCATGGGTTGAAGTTCCCCTACCGTCGGGTTAACCGTGAGAGGTTTTAGAGATTTTTTCTCATCATGTAATGCAAATGCGGGTTAGCTCCATCAAAAAGTCCTCCACGAAGGCAAATTTCTTCCAATACTTGATCCAAGAGTTCCCTAGACATCTGGATTGGGTTCAAAATTACAACGGAGTTACGGACTACGGAGTTGAACATTAGTGGGTGCTTCCATTACATGTTGTACCAAAGAATAAACTTAGGGGAAGAAGGCTAGCTTCCATAGAAATAATGTAACCCAAGGTTCGGCTCGGCACATTTATATGAAGAAAAAAAAATTTAAGCTCACAGCTTCAGAAAGTATTGAAATTGGCTTGCAACTTCTGTTTCTCTCAATTATTAGGGGGCGAGACTCAGGGGATAGAGCATTCATCTTCCAATGAGATTAACCGAGTTCGAATCCCAGCGATGGCTGGTCGATACGAATTCCGCACCCAGCTCTCACAGACCACGAGACTGACTTTGAGTCCCCTTGCGCTCAGGCTAATCGCAGGAGATTTTCGTGGTTTTTCTCTCCATATAACACAAATGCTGGTTAGTTCCTTTTAAATTCTAAAATGAATGCAAATTTCTCTCAGTACTTGATCTAGGAGTTCACTTGTCTTTTGGATTGGGTTCAAACTTACAGGGTTAAAGAGTTGAAGATTAGTAGTCGTAAACCCAAAATAGGAACTGCTGTTTAACGAAGGTTATAAAATAAAATGTTTTTGTATAATTTTTGCAGCAAAGAAATGGACTACTCCTTATCAGATGGATGGTGATTTAAGAGTACCAATTCGGGTTGAAGTGAGTGGTCTGGCTTCTGAAAAAAAAGACGAATGGTTTCCAGTGAATCAATTGACAGACTTTGCTTTCTTCCGTCCCGATTTCCCCAACTTCAGAGTATTCCAGGTAAAAATATGAACGATATATCGTAAAATAATCGATACTTTTCTAACTCCACAACATTATATATCTATTTTTACCATAAATCGTAAAATGGCAACATTTTTTTGGCATCGCGATATTGACATTTTAATATCTATTCTCAAGTCATATCATGTCGTATCGATATTTTTTTCTCAACGCGATACTAATATTTTAACATGAATTCTCGCAAGACATTGTTAATTAGCAATACTTTTTTTTATCAATGTTATATCAATATTTTTGAATGTATTCTCACCGCGTATCGAGAAACATCGATATCCTTTTAAGATAAAATATTTAATAATATTTTAAAATCTGTTCTCGTGATTCATCGTTAAAGAGCAAAATTTCAAAAAATCGCGATGCCGATATTTTAAAATGTATAATCACGATGCCTTGTCAATTATAAAAGATTTTTTCATCAATGTTATGTCACTATTTTAGAATGTATTTTCATCGCGTATCGTGAAATATCGATGGCCTTTTATCAGCAAATATTTAATGATATTTTAAAATCTATTCTAACGATTCATCGTTAAGATCAATATTTTTTACTATTGTAATTTTTATATTTTTAAGAAACATTTCCACGATAGATCACGTCTGTTGTTTTTCTCTTTTAATTGTAGTTAGAATTGTTTGGGAAAATATTTAGAAAAATCTATTCTATTCGTTTGGGTGTAAAAAATAATGACGTCAAAGGAAAATATAATGCAAATTATTAAAGTTAGAAAAATATTATGATGCATCGTAAAAAAGCTACGTGATTGCTAACTTGTAGGATTTCCGTAAACCTGACACATTTAAAACTTCAGTCGGAAAATAGCGTACCTACATAAAAACAGCCATATTTTTGTTCTTATATTTAATAACATTTCATAAATAAACCATGAGTTGATTTGATTTTCACTTTATAAGCATGCAGGGTGACATTGAGTATAACCATTCTTTGATTTGAGCTCCAATTTTATATATATACAGGATAATATTGAGTATAACCATTATTTGATTTCTGTTCGATTATAAATATGCAGGGTAACACTACGTTTAACCTTTCTTTGATTTGAGTTACCAATTTAAAAATATGCAGGGTAACATTGAGTACAGCCATTTTTTTTATTTGAGTTACTACTTTTTAAAAATACAGGGTGTCATTGAATATAAACATAGTGACTTGAGTTTCAACTTTATAAATATGCAGGATAACATTGAGTATAACCATTCTTTGATTTGAATTACCACGTAACAAACATGCAGGGTGATACAGTGCTGTGAAGTTGTTACAAACTTAGAGAAAAAAAAAAAAGTCTACTTTATAGGATTAAGAATTGCGCAGTAACTCGACGTTGAAAATGTCATCGTGAGAATTAAAGGGTGATTTTCTGTTATGGACTAACTGATATTGGAAAATTGAATCTGTACTTTTATTTATCTAAATTATTTTCATCTTATGTTTTTTAATGTTTATTGTCAAAAATTTCTATCAAATAAGTTCAGAAGTGGCAGTTTTATTGTAATTTAATAATATGGCGACTTACTTGACAAGCCAACCATGTTGTGTAACATACATTTATCTTCAAACTTTCAACCATACTTTTTAACTTCTAACCTCGAGTTTTGGAGGTTATGAGGATAGAGCACTAGCTTCATAATAAGGTAACCCGTGTTCGAATCCTAGTGATGGCTGGGACCGTAGGAGGTTCTCGTGGTCTTCCTCTCAATGTAACGCACATGCCTAGATATTTTTAATATTTATCCTAGAATGGCCTATAATGAATATAAAATATCAGGTGAAACTGACAATTCTGTAGAGGGCCATGAAAATTCAAATGAGGGTTAGTTCCATCTAGGGAAATTTCTCTTAAGCTTTAATCCAGAAGTTCCCTTGTCTTCTGGATAGAGTTCAAAATTACGAGGCTACGGAATTGAGCACTGGTAGTCGAAACGATGGTTATGAAACCTCTAATCTCGCCTAATTGATGGAGGAGAAAACATTACTAACTAGGAGATATAGCAGATGATATACAAAGAAGATATTATGAAATACAAAGCTGCGTTATATGTAGCAAATGCTACACAACTCTTTTGTAACACCTTGTGGAGCATGTATACCTCGAAATTTTCAATTATATTTTATTTTAAAAAAATTCTACCTAAATCTAATTAATAAGCAAATATTACAGAATTCCGAAATCTGATTAATAAAGAAATATTAAAATACAAGAATTCTACATACAATAAAATACAAGAAAGCTATAACCTAAGACACCACGCCTAAGACACTATTTGAAATATTAATATTAAATATCATCAAATTTTTTTGAACAGTCTCACATTCGTGTTTTTTGTTTTTACGTAGCCACCTCAAGGAATTGGTTGTCGATTAAAGAAAGAGACAAGAAAAATGCCAACCATGCCAGATATTTTCCGATATTCAGCAGAGGTAGTTGATCTTATTCAGTCATCAAAAGAAGAAATCACTGATATCGAATACCAGCAGGTAAATACATAGATTCTATGTTTCTTGTCTACATCACGCACTGTCCTTAGTATTGTGTCACTATCACGGTGTCATTGATTTTAATAACATCAAACACTGCATCATCTTTACAAGTCTTATTGTATGTTGGCTCTTGCATCATATATTGTGTAATTTTTACGCGTCTTATTATGTTTGGTTCGCAACTAAGTTCCCGTCTTTTTTAATTTTAACATTCCGCGTGTCGTTAAATATATTTGGCATAGGACAGTTTAGATTATTCGAAAAAGGAACTTTCCTCAACCAAAATCTTCGTTTTAGTTTTGTTCGAGTTAATTAATTTTCAGACCTGAAGTATGTGCCATTAAATATTTTTTGGCATAGAATCAGTTTAGATCATCCAAAAGAGGAACTTTTATTAAACCAAAATAAACGTCTTAGTTTTGTTCGAGTTAATTTTCAGGCCTAAAATATGTGCCATTAAATATTTTTAGCATGGAATCAGTTTAGATTATCCAAAAGAGGAACTTTTGTTCAACCAAAATCTACGCTTTGGTTTTTTTCGAGTTAATTTTCAGGCCTAAAATACGTGTCATTAAATGTTTTTGGCAAAGAATCAGTTAAGATTATTCGAAAGAGTAATTTCCGTTCAACCAGTATCTAAGTTTTGTTTTTTGTTTGATTTAACTTTCAAGTCATTAAAATAGAATGTCAAGTTGCAAAAAATGAGCATTTACGACATTTCTCTTTCTTTTTGCTTCTAATCGATGTTCTAAGGCTACAGAAGCTGCTTGTGGCATTTGTGCTGTGTATGGAGAATGGAGTTGGAAGAATCGCTTCGGCACGTTTAATTTAAAAATGGAAACGTTTGTCACAAAGACGCACCTCTTTCCAGCCGCCCAATTGAGAATGACGAAGAACTATTTAACCAACTTTAGTCAAAAGTTCGAGTAAACAACACAGGAACTAATTAAGAAATTAAAAAAATAAATTTTTTAAAAAAATTAAAAAAACGACCGGAACATAGTTGGCAACTCAATATATTGGTCTTTTATATTATATTAATACGCGTCAAATTTTTAATTGTCATTTATATCATACATGGTATCAATAATTAAACGAGTATTGATTGAGTCTTCAGATGTATAATTCAAGAGTTTAAAATTGGATTTACGAAGTCCTTTTTTTCCGAATTTACACAAAACTGACTATAACAAAACATAATTTGTTACTAAAGATTATGTAAGTATGTTAATAAAATCTTTCATAATATTTATGGTAAAGGAATATTTTTATCATTAAGCTGATTTTGATTGAAAAAAATTTAATACTCTTTTTGAAATTATACTCCATTTCACAAGAAACTGAAAGATATGCACTATTCATTCATATTTTCTTCAACGTGTGGTCTTCCATTTAATAATTTTTGCAATAAGAAACAATAGTAACAAGTATGCTAACAGGAGTGGATCTCGACTTGGGAAATTAACTTTGTGTTGAAGTTAGATGCATTGGTGATATATCTGAAGGCTTTTATTCATGACTATAGGGTAAAGTTAAGCTTTTATTCAGCCAAGTTTTATCCCAAAATTAACGTACTCCACGCCTTTTTAGAAACAGCATTTTGAATTGCGAAAATATAAAAAATTTAAAGGGAATAAACTAAATATTATAAATTGAACCAAATCTAATAACAATGATCATAATAACAATAATAACAATGAAATCTAATTGGCTACAAGAATATGTACAGTGCACAAATTAAAAAATTGATCGGACCACCCTGAATAACTTTTGATCTAATAATCAATTCTTCACGTTCTAGGACTCATTTTTAATGATCTGAGAAGGTGACCTCAAATATGCGAAATTAAAGTTACGAAATCAGACACCAAAACGTAGTTTCTCTGAAAAAACACACCATGCTTTGTAATTACATTATAAGTTTATTTTATCCGAGACGCAAGATTACAAAAACAACAAGCATGCAGCGCTTGTTCTTCAATTCCAAACTGCATCTCTACGGAGAGTGGACTGCTCCATATCTTTTATAGGGGGAGATAGGTAAGATATTAATGTCTACACTTTTCTTGAAAAAGAAACAGAAAACGGAATTGATTTTCGATTTTAGAATTAGGAGAAATAGAAAACAAAATATTACCTTTCTTAAAGCATTTACACAGTTCGAGTTTGTCACACTTTGCATTAAATTTTATTTTATATTAATAAATTTATTAATTTTTCTTCAGCAGGTGGGATAATATTTTTTGAGCTGGGGTGACTACGAATTTCACTTCTTCTAAATTATAAATAAATGTTAGTGTAGGAAGCACCGGGAAATGTATTTTAATCTTAAAAAAAAAATCCGTGTGAGGAATACCGGCAAGAGCATACGGGCAGTGGCCTTTACCTGAAAAAACATTGGTGATGGAATTATGATTACACCTTTCTAAACCTGCAAAAGAAAGTAAGCAACAATCCACTCTTATAAAGAGACAGCTTGGAATTGAAGGATAAATGGTGCACATTTGCAACCTTACTGCCAGTAAAGAATGGATATTTTAGGGACAAGAAGGGACATTTGAAATTGAACTGTAAGTCATTATATTTATGACATAAAAATTTAATGCTGTTAAAAAGTATAATTGATAGTTTTTTAACGGATCACTGCATCACTTTTTAAGCGTTCTGTTATACCATATTCTTTTTATTATACAATAATTACAATACATCATTATACAGCGTATCATCATTTCTGTATCTTTTTATACTTTTGTCTTCACATCATCCTGTCATTATAAATGAAGCGTCTTATCATACATTGGTATACCGAAAAGATATGTTTCAACTTAATTTAATCTCGTTTCTTACTTTTCTAGGTTTGGTACGATACAAGAGCAAAGCTGGCAAGACTTGATAAATACACAAGAATGCGTTCAGTGTCTGAATTTTATGATTTCAATACAGGTAAGGAAATTAATTTTACTTTCGTTATCAATGATGAAATTACAGACTAGTTAAGAAAAATAAATACGTCAAAAACTACTTTTCTCAACTGCTCTCAAAAGTAGAAAATAATTCTATCAGCGTCGCCAAGTATTTTAACCAGCAATTAACTTCAAAAAAGCTGCTTGAGTTTTTTTTTTTCTTGAATAAATGACCAACATGAATATTGATGGCGACTGTGCATTTAAAAACAATCTAGGAAATAAGTGACTAATCTATAAAAGGCATATGATATGCTGCATATAAAGAACGTATTAAAGAAGATTCCAACCTGGATTAAATCTGATTTTATTGACTTAATCAGATTAATCTCAAATTTTTCCAAAAAATTTTGCTTCATTTTATGAAATATTTTTAAAATTACTGCAAAAAAAAACATAAAACCAAAATATTAGTTTTTTTTTAATAAAAATGACCATGTTTCCATAAATATTTAAATTAGGGTTATGAAATTTTGTGAAATTATTTCATATAGTAACCAAAATAATAGTTATAAGTAACAAATTTTTTTTAAATATTTTTTGGCATAGGGTGTTCAAAAACACTATTTTCCATTTATAATTTGCTATCGGTCCCTTAAACTTCATTGATAAGTATGAAAAATCCCATAACCTAAACTCTGAATATTTTTTAAGAGAGATAAAAAAATGTGCTATTATGGAACGTTCCCATTATTTTGTTTAATCCCATATTGGAGGAGAAAACATTACTANAATTATATATTAGCTATTAACGCGTGATTATAATTAACTAAACTTAGTACACATTTGGATTTATTATTTAATTTTGCATATATATATATATATATATATACACGGTGCTGAAAGTGTTAAATAGAAATTAAATTAAAATTAAAGAAATGAAAGAGCTAAAATTAGTAATAGATAATAAATAATATAAGTAAAGAGAGAGAAAGTGTGTGATGAACAATATCATACTCACCTGGCACACAACGGGCTGTTGCAGAGAATGCTTAACTTTTACTATTTTAAATTAACTTTTTATCCATGATTTCTATATTCGCACTGAGAATACGCTCAAGTATATTATATTCCATTTCTTGTGTTTGTCTAATTTCAGGTGTGACATACAGTATAGTAGACAGACGTACATGTTCTATAAACCCCTTGAGGTATGCTTTCTTCGAAGGTTATGATGGCAAAATGATTGGACATCTTAAAGATCCAGATGAAGTTCTAGATTTGGACGGAAGCTTTTACTTCTTAGGAAAAGTACGCATGTCTCTTTTGAGTTCAATAGAAAGTGCTTCGTAACGGCCCCTCTATAACCCTTCTTAATATGAGGCAAAATTAATAATCACCCAAAGGGCGACTAAATATACAAAGTGGCGATCAAAAAATTTTGTTCCAATCGCCATCCAAATGCGATTTTTTTTTTAAATAAAAATGCACGCCATGTCCATTCTACTATTATTTTTTAATATATACGTAATTGTTGTGATTTATTTTATAATTTCAAAATTACCTAATTTCATATAATCATTTACCTTAAAAAACATCAACGTAGAGATTACCGATGCCGGTTTATATTTCCGATTGTTAAAAATAATTTCTATAAATGCATGTTCTGTTCTTTAAAAAAACACACACAATTAAGTATGAACCTATTTGCTTCCCATGAAATTACTTCAACTGATACTAATAAATCATAATCATACTAAATTAAAGTATGAAATAATCATAATTCGCACTTCACCGGTTTATTATTTGGCATGCCTTGGGAAGAAAGAAAAATTTAATCATTTCCTGCTTCATAGGTTTGACACTATATATTGTATGCACTTCGTAGGCAACGTCAAAAATGATTTCTTATTTCGTTTTTTGCCGGTTTGTCATTTAGCGTTGTATGCAATGCCTGAACAACGTAAGAAAAGTTTGATCATTTGTTACTTTACAGGTTTGTCATTTGATATTGTATATGCAATTCCTAGGCAATGTCAAAAATGTTTACTTATTTCGTTTTGTGCAGGTTTGTCATTTAAAATTTTAGTTTGTCATTTTTGTATGCAATACCTAGTCAATGTGAAATATTTTTAATATTTTCATATAGATGGTTTTTCATTTGCCAATCTATGCAAAGCTCAGGCAATGGGGAAAAGTTTAATACTTTACCAGTTTCGCATTTGATATTGTATGCAATTCCTAGGCGAAATGCCGCAAATGTGTAATCACTTTTTACTGTGCTGGATTTTCACTAAATATGCAACGTCTAAGCAATGTGAAAAATTTTCATTTCGAACTAGATGGTTTGTCATATTGCACTGCATACAAAGCTTAGACAATGGAGAAAAGTTTAATAATTTCCTACTTTACCGGTTTGTCATTTGATATTGTATATGCAATTCCTAGGCAATATCAAAAGTGTTTACTTGTTTCTTATTTTGTCAAATTTTCATTTAGCGTTGTATGCAACGCCTAGGCAATTTGAGAAATGTTTAAATATTTTGTACAAGACAGTTTTCATTTGACTTTATACACAAGGTGAGAAAATATTATCGCCGTTTATTGCCGTTTGATATAGTATACAATGCCGAGGGAACGTGAGAAATGTTTAATTATTTTCTTTTCTGCCAGTTAATTTTGAAAATTGCCAGATTTTCGATTTAGAAATATGAATTTTAAGAACTGCAAAATGATACTTAAAAGAACAAAATCACGCACGTCATCGGATTTTGACCAATCGATGTTGAGATTGATCAGAGTCAAGCAAGGAGTAAAACCTAACAAAAACCAGTTTATTTGCAAAGTTAGATTGCCTCAGTTTAATCCTAAAGTTAATTGGCTTTTAAAAATTTTAATTACAGTTCTCATTCGCCTCAATATCTTTTGCTTAGACGTTAGAATGTGATCATATATGGCAACGTTACTTTTGAAAAGTAACGAGTAAAAGTACAAGTAATTTCAAAAAAAGTAACGAGTGAAAAGTAAAAAGTTCTTATTTTAAAAAGTAACGAGTAAAAAGTACAAGTAAAAGTACAAGTACTAAATAAAAAAAGTAACGATTTCAAAGTACATTTCTAGGAAATTGAAAATTCAAAGTAACCTAAATTTTATTGAATAATGTTCTTTAATGTTTTTGCAAAATTATTGTTATTTATTTAATTATTTTTAATTTTGAAAGTTATGGACATTAATTTATTTTTAAATTTGGAAGAATATTATAATATAATCGTATAATATAATTTTAAAATCAAATATAATTTTAATATCAAACTTTTTATGGATTTGCACGGAAAATTTTTTTTATCTATTGATTTTAATTTTTAGTTTATTATTTTTATTTATTTAAATTACCATTGATTTAAAATTGTTTTACTCTATAGAAACGCGCAAATTTAAAAGCACAAACATAAACAAAGCAAGCACGGGGTTTCAGATAGCTTTGTAATCTTCGAGCTGGTAAAAAATAATTGAATGTGCAGTATAAGTTGAAACAGAACAGTCAACAGTTTTATTTGTGACAATGGCTAATGTTGAAGTCATGCGAGAAAATCATTTTCCAAACATTAGACTTAGAGATCTAAACTTAGAAATTTGACTGGACGTTGTTTGACAAGGTCAGGCATAAACATAATTTTAGTAAAAAATGTACTAGGTAAAAATGTATTTAGTAAAAAATGTATTAAGACAAAAATGTATTATTAGTGAGTTCAAAAAGAAAATTGAAAAACATAATAACAAAATCCAAAATTTTTTATTTAAAATTTATTAAATAAATGCATAAAACTCGAAAATGAATGAAAATAACTTGCTAATTAATATTTTTATTCACTTTGCAAAATAATTGCATTTCGAAAGTGGTGTCACTGAGTCTGCTGCGAGAATTTCTCAGAACGTGCTTAACCGCGCTGAATAAGCGCTCCACGGGAGGTCAAGGTATTTAAACACACGAAGTTAGCTGTGAATGCATATATATTGCACATTAATTTTATAAATTAAAAAAACATAAGCATTTTTTTTTTTAATTCTTTTTTCAGAAAGATTTCCGAGTTTTAGAAAAAAGTAACGATTTCATTCGACATTTCCGTTACAAATACTTGTACATTTTCCCTAAAGAAGTAACGAAAGTACAAGTAAAAGTACTAAGTTTAAAAAGTAACGAAGTACAAGTAAAAGTACGTACTTTTTACTTGTACCGGCGGTACAAGTAACGAAAGTAAAAGTACTGCCATATATG